GGGCAGGAAAGCGTGCTTCTCCTCTCTTGGTGACCCAGAAATTCAGCTCAAAGGCTTTGTGTCCGGGTGTTGCTGAAGGGAAGCGCTCTTAGCGTTGCAAAAAGACACTGGTGTGACATAATCTGTTTCCATGCAAAACCCTGCCCTAGGCACTGCCCAAACTAAGAGCACCCCCTACCCCATAAAGCTACCACACTTAGATGCATTTGGCACAATGATCAAACTTAAGCTAATCTTTTGCTTTTCTTTTTCTTGCTTTTCCAGAACCTGTGACGCCAAGCCTTCAGCCGGGGGCTGGAGAGGAATGCCGTGAGATTTATGTGGGAAATCTGAGGCACGGGACAACCCAGGTGAGTAATCGGAGTCGAAGCATGCGTGAAAAAATCTTTTTTTGCATACTTGTGTCATGCCTGAGGTGCTTCATTCTAGAGATAGAGGTGTAAGGCATGTGTAGCCTTTTACGGTGCTCCATAAAAGACGCTCGGTTTGGACATGTATCGGGAAGGGGGGTGGTCTCGGGGGGGGAGCAATGCTAGGAAAGCTAAACTGGGGACAACATAAACTTTCTACACCCTACAATAGAGCAGCACTGCTGTACAAAGTGTCGGTTGTAAGAAATGTCTCGTCAGAGACGACGTCCTGCGGAATAGCCTATATAACAAAGGCAAGCTAGCTCAATTTGAGTAAAGGTGTGTTGTTGTTTTTCTTAAAAGGAGGTCACATGCTACCGTATTCACACAAATGTAGGTCGACCCATTTTTCAATTTTTGAAAATCTGAAGTGGAGGGGTCGACCTTATCGTCGAACCAAAGCATTCCACCGCCGACAAAAACGAAACAATCGCGATAGCAAGAACGCCTCGGTTTGTTAAGAGTTCAGTCGTCTGTACCTGTAGCATTGTGGTGTTCTGTGCGCTCATTTGACAAGTTCTTTTATTTTTTAATTTGCACGAACGAGTATCGATAGCGATTTGCAAGTTAGCCCGAATGTACGACAGTGAACAGCGACGTCGGATTAATAGGCGAGAGATGCGATGCCAACGCTTTGCTACGTTCCTCTGCGGATTCAGCGATAAACCTTCGATTCGTGCCCGACGTAAATGCAAACGTGAACAGGGCTCACAATTTTTTCTTGTTTTTATTTGTTACTTGAGACTTGACAAAAACAGTCGGTGTCAACGCGAAGAAACATGCGGACGTTGTCGCGCCATGTGAAGCCATCTAAAACTATTGAACTGGGCCCTCATATATTCATGAAGTTGTACCGAATTTGTTTCTGAACTTATTTGTTTTTGGTCTTTGATGCACGTCGTAGTGTCGGCCTGCGTTCTTGATGCGCAAGCAGCTCAATGCAAGTGGACGAGACCAAGGCTGTTAAGCGAGTCAAAAAGATGACAGTTTTAATAATCTATGCCACCAACAATAATTGAAGATGCGTATGGTTAACAGTAAACAACAAAAGCTGAACGCACCAGAGAGCCCTCACTTTAATGTCATTTATTAAAAAAAAATAATTACTTTAGAAAGCCAGAAAACAATCTCATTGCTTTGCGGCAATTTCTATACACTTGATCTGGCGTCGGTAAACGAGGTTTGTAAAACAGCTCTAAAACTAAACAGGAGAGTTTGTTGATATAATATACCTGAATATTTAAAACGCTGTCATGTTGAATAAAGAACACAACAGACGTGGACGATGTGTCTGTTCTGTTTTGTGTTTGACACCGGATTTTCCTGTCTTTTTTTGTCGAACGCCACTTCGACGAATTCCTATGTTGGCGGCGGCGAAAACTTAAGTTGCAGACGTCGAGTGGAACAACACGAGCGGTGCCAACTTCATTTCACAATCTCCTTTTTTTTTTTGTTGGCAGTTGAGGTAAAGACTTTGTTTAGTGCAAAGAAGGGGGGGGGGGGGGGGGGCGGGGGGGAGGGGGGAAGGGAGGGGAGGGTTTGAGACAGTCAATGCAGTTATTCTGCCAGGGTTGAACAAATCTTCATTATGTGCAACATCCATCAACTGTGCAACTGTGCTTGAGGTGAGTGCTATCTGAAACCAATTTGAACTCTTTGCAACGCCTGAAAAATATTGCCCAGGGCACAGTTTCCTTGAGAATAACACAGAGCTTTCCACCTCCAAAAAAACTTTCGCCAGTAACAACTAAAAAAAAAAAAAAAAAAAAGAGAACTAACCTCGAGTTGCATGTGTTGGCGTGGAGCAGTCTACCACTAAACAGCGCGACTTCATGCGTGTTCACGTCGAAAAAAGAATTAAAAGTGTCCTCAGAGATGAAAGGCATGACGGCCTCGTCCTTTGTCTACGTTGGGTGACCGGAAGTGAGAAAACAATTAAGTTTCCGTATCGCACTTAGTGGAGAGCGTCCATGTTCTGGAAATGCTGAGAAACCGAAACTCGAGATACTTGATGCTACCAAGATGGCCGCATGCACAGTGCTGCCACACCACCAAGCAGCTCCGCGTACGGTCTATTGTATCCACATGCATTCTAAGAATCCCCGCTTTTTACGACACCTAAAGTGTGTGTCGGTTCACGAACATGCAGTGTGCACATATTGCACAGTCACACACCATTTATTTCAGTTAAGGGAGCTAGCAGAGTAAACTTATAGGCCATTTCTTTGCCTTTTTTTATATGTTGTTGGTAAAGGCTTCACGGATACATTCATGAAGGGGCCGGACACGGGCATTGCATTCAAGTCTAGGAAATGTCCCAAGCCGGCCATTACTTTATTATTATTTTTATATTATCAGCAGCAATGTTTTTAGGAGTTTGTTTGGGGGGTTGGGGGAGAAACCATAGTGGGGGAGACTGAAATGCTGAAAGCATGTACACGTGTTTGTATGTGTGTTTGTATGGTTTGGAACATGCGTACATAATGCTCTTCCAGAGCAGAGTTAGCTGTGCGGCAGTCATTTTCAGAAGTAAAAAAAAAAAAAAAAAAATTGTTTTCTTTGTTTGTTTTGTTATTATTTTTTTTTCTCGTAATTCATTTTTGTCGCTGGCGGCGGCGTACTGTCACTTCTCCCCATCAGCACGCACACGTGCGTGCCTGCACTATGTGCACCCTCACAGGAGTACACCGTCTGTATGAACGAGTGCATGGACCCACAATATGGGTGAAGGTGTTATCCTTAGGGGTGCTTTCTTTAAACAAGTTACCGTATTTACTCGCAGAATGAACACACTTTTTTTCTGAAGAATCGATGCAAAGTTGGGGGAGGGGGCACATTCATTACTCAAAGTAAAATTTTTGTGTCCGTATTTACTCGCATAATGAACGGACCTTTTATCCTGAAAAATCAACCTAACTTCTTATCTCTTTGCACGCGGCGTGCGACCTCGTAACCAAACTGTGCTGTGAAGAAAAAAATAAAAAAAAGTTTGTCTTTATTTTTTTTGCCGCCTTTCGCAAGTTGTTTTGTTTGTTTAGGCATTGCTTAGGTGAGGGCTTCTCTGCTTCTCTTTCTTACGTCCTTGCGCGCAATGCGCGACCCGGTAACCAAACTGCGCTGTGCAAAAGAAAAAGAAAAGCTCCTCTTTGTTTTTTTTCTCTTCTGTGGCTTGTTTTTTTTTTTTTTTAATTTGCTGCCTTTCGCAAGCTGTTTCGTTTGTTGCTTAGGTGAGGGCTTCTCCGCTTATCTTTCTTGTCTCCTTTCGCGCGGGGCACGACCCTAAAGTCCAGACTAGGGATGCCGCAAACTTTTTTCGAATCAAAGTTTCGATGATCGAATCAGGTGGTTCGAAAGGTTCGAAAGATTTCGAATTTTCTAACTTTCGATATCGAGAAATTCGACGAAAGTCGAATTTTCGAACTTATTAAGCTAAGAAGTTTGACGCTTTTCGAATTTTCGAACTTATTACGGTGCAAAATTCGATGCTTGTTGAACTTTCGAACTTGATAGACTAAAAAGTTCGATGATTTTCGAACTTTCGAACTTCTTGCACTAAAAATTTCCAAGCTTTTTGAACTTTCCAACTTCCTATGCAAAGAAATTCAATAATTTTCGAACTTTCAAGCTCATTAATCTAATGAATTCGAAAATTATCGAACTCTCGATTCTTGAAAAGTCAAAAGTTCAACGAACTTCGAACTTTTAGGGTAAAAGTTCGAAGTTCGTCGAACTTTGAAAGACCGGCGGGCGGTTTCATTTGGATTCAGGCAGTGAGGTACATTCGTAATTTTTTTTCTCGCAATTTTACATGTGGCGCCGCATTAATTGCGAAAGACAATGCCGTTTATTTCAATCATCTGGCATGCTTGGTTTTAGAAAAATAGATTCCCGAAGGAGCGAGAAGGACGATGGGTGATTGACAATTGTCGTTTGTGCCATATTTGAAGCGCACTATAGCCAAAGCTATTTATAGTAGAGATGTTAAACTTTTTAAGAATGATCTATATATATAGCCTAGGTGAGTGTCGTTTTAAAATATGATTATTGTTGTTCAAAACGAGTTTCGAATAAATATCCAAACATGTACCTACGGATAATTATGCCCTAAACTTGGTAAATTTTTTTTTGCCTACATTGTTTGGGGTATCGCATTTAAATTAACACCAGAGACAGTAAATATCATTACCATCTGCAGAATACAAAATAATGTATTTATTGTTTTTTTCACGTTGAGGAATAAATTAATTCATAAGAGAAAATTTCTAAAATTGTTTTTTTTTTTTTCTTTCATTTTACGTTCTTGGAACATGTTTCTTTTGGCCTGTACACATTTTGGTAGGAGAAACTTGTTTCATAGTTCTGGGCCTCTGAATATGCAAGAATACAACACTTCGGCGGGTTCTTGATTGTTTTTTTTTTCTCAGGCTTTTTATTTTTGCATTTATTGTTATGTTTATTTATTGATTATTTTTTACCAATGGCACAGTTATTTAGGTCGAAAAGACATAGCTTTGAATTTTCGAGCCACCGAGCATGTGACGAGTAGTGCCTCCCTCCTGACAACGAGTTTCTAGAGGCCTGTTCACACATGCAGCGGAGCGCTACAAGCATAGCGCTGACCTCGTGCTAAGCATGTGCCGATGGGAGCGTTCACCAGCTTTGTATCGCACCAACAAAACTGTTGCTCATGGCATACGATAAGTACCTGACGGCACGTGAGCAGGGTTACATCAGCGCTTCGCTGCATGTGAGAACCAACCTTAAAAAACCACCATCTATGCGATTTTTTATGCAGTGAAGTGTGACAGTAGCTATACATATGCATAAATAATTTTAGATTAAAAAAAGTTCGACCATGCCCTCTTTCCCCGTATTGTTTTCTTTAACAGTCCGAAATATCTGAGGAGGGCGAAGGGGAAACTGGAGCTCCCCTCCCCCCCCCCCCCCCGTGAAATTCAAAACAGTTGTTTGAAATCGGCAAATGAAAATGACGCCAAATCCAAAATTCGAATATGCCCGCGCTTTTCATTGCCGTGACGTCACGGGATGGCCGGCTTGCGGTTCGAGCGGGCAGTCTAACAATGAACTATGCCGAGCACTTGTATCGCACTGCTGCGCGGGAGCTGGAGCAACTTTCCAAAGCATTCATTTGACACCATGAAACTGTTTGTAATCAGTTGGGAACAATGTCTACAGCCCAAAGAGTGAACCCCTGCACTTCCACTGACGTCACTTTTTCAATGTTGCCAGTAGAGCTTTTCACTTAGAAAGACACGATGTGGACCAAAATGGTAAATTCCATAACTTTGCGAAAAAAGTTATTTGGGCCAAATATTTGGGTTACCATTTTAGCGATGTTTTGTTGGTGTGTTTAGCAAGTTTTGAGGCAAATCGGGGACTATGATGATAACACCGGAGTACCCCTTTAAAGGACCTGTGCAACAGTTTCAGTGCTTTGCTTAAATAATTTGGGAGTTGGTGTCTCGACCTTTTTAAAGTAAAGGACAAAAAAAAAAAAAAAAAAACGCTTTTGCCTGCATGTCTTAGTTTTTATCTTAAAAAAGGACAAAGATTGAGGTCTTCGGCAGCTCTCCACTCTTTCACCATCTTCCGAGTCTTGTGCGCTGTGACGTCAATGTGGGTGGCGCAGAGTTCTGGTGAAGCTCTCTCTTTAGAGCCATCAGTGAGCAGCGAGAACTCATCCGCTCATAACCGCGTGACCACGTGCTGGTGGGCGCAGCGCGAACAATATGGTGAAAGGAAGAAAGTCTCATCCGGGCCCGGCCATAGCCGCGCGTCCGGCCGTAGCCGCCCGTCTGGCCCTGTCCCCCTCCCCCTCCGGCTTCTGGCGGCAGTTCGCGGTAGCAGATAGAGCTGACGGTTTTGTGGACCTAGGATAGATGGCGCCACTAAAACTTTGTGTAATAAAAGTTTTGTCGATGATGCCAGGTTTTTGACGCATTTATATTTATGCTGGAATGACAACGTTTATAGAAAAGTTACCTTTTATCGAGCAGGTATTCGCACAACTTGCTATCTTTCTACAAGACCCCCATTGACGTCGCGCCGCGTGTTTCTCATGGCCACCGCTCGCGGCTGCAGGTCGGGGGATATTCTAAGTTTTGCCTCGCTATTGCGCGGCGGAATCACAACATTTTGAAGGAAGAAGATGTGTTTTCTGTCCTATGTGACAAGATGAACAATGTCAAAAGTAGAAGATGCCCATTCTTTCAACATTAAAATCGTTGCAGAGCTCCTTTAAGGGAATTTGGGAGCTCAGGGAAAGCATGAGTGAACTCTTGAGGAACTCCTGGGTTCCTAGGAACGCAGTTTTAGAACCCGGGATTTATGCAATGACTTGGTGCCAGTAACCTGACTTAATGTAACCTACCCTAAACCAACAAAAAATTTGTGCAGGTTGTAATATGTTTACAACCTGCACACTAATATGTTTAGTGTGGAGGTACAATATGTTTAGTGCACATACTAATATGTTTAAGTTTAGCTTTTTCCCTCGCACTATTAGCGCCTGGAACAGTTTGCCTCTCGAACTATTTATCGACATCAACTTTGTAGAAGGTCTTGAGCGTCTTGATAACTAGCATGTTTTGCTTTGTACATTGCTGCACCTTCATCTTTTTCGTATGGACATTAGGATTGTATAAACCTTCATACCACGTCTGGATAGGTCCTTTTGTATTAGTGCATGATGGAATTACATACTGCTTGATGCTTGCTTTCCCCCCCTCCCCTTTTTTTAAATAATATATCCTGTATATTTGCTAGTTAGTTGTAAACCTTTTAATGTCGTGTTATTTGCTTTCGTTGTATGTGTGAATGTATATGTTGTATCCCACACCTACTTGGGCCTTCAATGGCTTGTAATATCCTCTAAATAAAATAAAAAATATTGGACTTTTTTATTCATTATTCCTCAAGAACCTATTTGGCATTACGACGGGAGGCTGCTTTTGCTGTCTGATTTTAAATGTAAGCACAGACAGCAGAAACAGACACATATATGAAAGTGAAAACTTGCACGTAAAGTGGGTGCCAAGCAAACTCTCGGAGATAACAGTTAGTGCACAAAAAGACGTCGCTATGACAACGTGCAGTCCTTTCGACTGGACTGGAATGTTCGGACACTTGTGCCATGAACATCGGGAAACGAAGGACGCAGTTTTTACGTCGCCAAACTCGGCCAATGAAAATGCTGAGCCGTGTGCCATTTCTCGCAGGCCGATCTGGAAGCCATGTTGCAGAAGTATGGGGTGGCCAGCGTGAGCATGAAGAGCAAGGGCTCGTTCGTGTAAGTATGTGTTAATGCATGCACCAACGTTTCTTGCACGGCAATCGGTAATAATTTTGCACCTATGCGGCATGGCCAAATAAAGTGAGTCCGGATTAAGCAATTGCAGAAGCCAATTTAGTGTGGTGCGATACCGTTACAGTGACCACTCTGTTTAAGGAGGGACATGAACCTAAATTTCGAATATTAAAAAAAAAAAAAAAATTCCAGTATTGAGGTTTTCAATTTTAGAAACTAATTATACACCCTTACACTAAATTTGATAACCATTCGCCAAATAGTTATGTTGATATGAAATATTTTCAACACATTATACGTCGATATAAAATATTTTCAACATGTTGTGAGGTGGTAGCAAAGTAAACAAGTTCAATATTTGAATGTATTTTTCTCAGTTCCACTTTTTGCTGCAAATTTCATACGAAGGAATCTTTCGTTCGAAGGTAAAAGTATTTTGATACCACAATCAAGATGTTTCTGAACTGATAATTACGGGGCTAATTGGGCTATCTCCTTTATTTTAAGTTAAAGCTTTCATTGAGGAAAAACTATGTTTTGAAAAATTGACATAGGACAGATACGCATCTCATATTTTGAAATGATAACTCTTCTTGAAATATTTACATTTGAGTTATAAAAACTAGATAGCCCAAAGTCCCACATCTCCCACTTTATATTCAGGCCGTCAAAATGGTGCTTAAAGCTTCATTTGCATATAATAGATTTCTTAACGAAAAGGGACACATCTTCTCATGCAGGTATGTAAAATTGTCCTAGAGAGCTGAAAGTTAGCACAATACACATACATCTGATGTTAAATCTCCCCTGCAAATTTCATTCCGATCACTTGAGTAGTAATCTCTCAAAGTCATAAAAACTTGAAAAAAAATTTGATGTAAGCGGAGTTTCGAGATGAGTGAATGAGGCACAATTTTGCTTTCTTTATTTTCTTTTTTGTGCCTTTGGTTTCGGGTTGCTGCTTCTCCATTAGCCAATGTTTAGGCCGCCAGTTCATTGTTGGTTGTGCTTTGCCTGTTTTTGTTTTTATATTTGTTGTCAAGGTTTTGAGACATCCAAGGTTTGTCCTGAAATAAGTGGCGAGTGCATGTATTGTGCCCATGGGAGTTCATTCCATGACAAGGAACTCTTTCGACTTAAACAATGTTTTGAGGTGGCTGAGCTCTAGTTGTCGAGGTATTACTGTATTTAGTGCTTCTTCGTTGAAAATGTTGAAGTAAACACATTTCTCCCTGCAAGGTTGCAAATAAAAACCCAGAATTTGAATACGGGCTTACGTCAAATTGAGCCTTTTTCTTCTCAAAGAAAGAAGGCATTGTTGTGGGCCGTTCGGGCGTTTACTGCCATGAAAACAGATAAGAAAGAGTGAAAAAACGAATTTTGACTTTGTATTTGTTATAGGTTTTGTCAAAAGCTTTGCAAGCCGGCAGTTAAGACTCTGCGACGACAGCGACACTCGCTTTCGCTCGCGCTTTTTGTTGGGACTGTTGGCACCAACTGCCAAGATCGCGACATCCAGCAGCATGACACTCCGGCTTCTTTGACGCCCTTTGTTGCCACTTGGGGAGCACTTTTGATGTATGGGTGGGATAGGACGCTAGACACACCGGTCAGACTCGTTCTAGATGTCGTGCTGCCTCCGTGAGAGAAGAGAAAAAGAGGGAATAGCTGGGGGAAGTGCTTTTGCAAGTTTCTTTTGCTCGGAGTTCTCGGCATGTTGTGGTGTAGTCGAGGTCATTAGTGGCGTGTCGGTTTCACCTTCTTTTCCGGTTGCAGCTACGCCTTTGTGGAACTCGCAAGCGAAGACGGAGTGCAGGCGGCCATTCGAGACCTTCACGGCGCCCTCAATGCAGACGGAAAGCCGATGGCCATCCGCAGGAGCAACCCGTCGGCCAAGATCAAATCTTTTGCAGCTAAGGCATCTTCTAAGGCACCGCCTAGCACAGGTAGGTGCCGCATTGCAAAGAACCAGGGGTTGTCCAACTTTTCGACCTCGAGGAAACTTCACAGTATGATCTCGTTACAACAGACGTTCAGTTATAACATACCGATCTGTGAAGTTTGGTTGGTTTTCCTATGTATGCCATTGAGCAAACTTCGCTTATTACAGATTTTGTTATAACATACCTTTGGATGTAATGGACTATACCGTTGAACCTCGATATGACGAACTTTAGTGTAACAAAATTGTAGATTTAACGAAATATTAGGGGCGAAGCTACTTAGGGGCTAGCCATGTCCGTCCGATGTCCGGCGTCGGGTGCTCGTGCTCACGAGCAGGTGCTCCTGTGCTTCTAGGGAAAAAAAAAAAAAACCAACCGCATCTCCACGCAGTGAATGATGTTGATTGGGGCGAAGCTCTGGTGGTGCTTGTCTGCGTAGACGCTGAGCCGCAGCATGCCGAGCCTTTCGTTCGTTTTCATCCATGTCAGCAAGAGAATGTGTGGTGTGGAATGTGGTTATATACGCATTTGAGCATTTGACCGCAGTGTGACATGGATGAAAACGAACTAAAGGCTCGGCATGCTGCGGCTCAGCGTCTACGCAGACAAGCACCACCAGAGCTTCGCCCCAATCAACATCATTCACCACGGGGAGATGCGGTTTTTTTTTTTTCACTTTTCATAACTTCTTGTCCCCATGTATTTTTAGTCTCAATATAATGAAGTCTGTTTTGTTGCTATTTCAATATAACTAAGTGCCATTGCCATTGGAGGCAACAAATAAATTGGGGTTTAAAATGAGACTTTTACAATTCTGTGTAATACGAAATTAGAGCGCAGCTCTCGAGGGGGAGGAGGGGAAGGTACGCCTTTCCTCCCCCTTAGTAGCCCCCCTTCCTCGCCTTTCATTTAGTGGGAAATTTCCACTGAATTTAGCGAAAATAGGCTTGAAATAGCATCACTGTACAAAACATGTCGTGGTGGATGAAATTCTATAAAAATTTCTGATATCTTCTGCAGAATTTTACGATAACGACCCGTAAGGACGACCTAATTGAAATTACAAATTTATTGATAATTAAGGATCTAGTAAAGCTATTGGAAAGCTAATTGCACATTTGAAATCACTACTGAGAAGCACATCACTATAAAGACCAGCAGTCTGTGAGATAAAAACTGAAATGTGCATTGTATATTGAAATTCATGGTTATTTGCATTGATTACTATGCCGTTTCAGTGGGTCATTTTAAAGGGGCCCTAAAGAGGATTTTGCAATTGTCTTTTCTTGGTCATAACTGATTCTACGGGCCCTAAGCATTCTAAGCATCCAAGAACTACAGTAGAACCTTGTTAACTTGAAGTTAGTCGGATGGCAAAAAATATGCGAATCAAGTGGATTTGCGAATTATCGAAAAACGAAGGAAAATGACAGAACATTGTGCGCATAGCTTTGAATCTTGAAAGAAACATTTTATTCTAAACGAGTAGTCGAAACGAGAGAAGATCAACCGAAGTAGTCGTTGATGTGGGACTGCCGCGTTCTGTAATTAGCGGCGCCAAACGTCATATTTTCAAGAAGGTTAACTAGGCACAACATCTCAGAATCACCGCCGTTACATTCCGGAAAGCTGCAGACGACTTTCAGCGACTGTATAACTTCCCCTAGAGTGGGGGCCCGGGGCGGCTCATCATCGTCGTCAATTTCTGCCGTTACACGGTCAGTTATTTCGCTCTCAGGGTCTGCGTAGCAGGTTTGCTCATATTCTTCCATGTTTAAGTAGTCTGTGAACCTCATGCCGACCGACTCACCGTCGCCGTCCTTAATGCGGGAGCAAAGCTCCTCTCCCTCATCGTGAATCCCAGGGACAACACTGGCATTAGCACTGGCAGTGTCCGCAGTATCCTCCTGCTCCACGGCCGGCCGTTCCTTCGGAAATCCAGCGTGTTTGAAGCACTTCTTGATGACTTCTGCCTTCATCTGTTTCCACGCATACACGATCAGGCATATAACCCCAAGAAGATTGATGGAGTAGCCCTTGCCATTATCGTAGCAGAGCAACATCCACTTCAGAAGGTGGTGGCGATAGATCTTCCGCCTCTGACATCATGGTCCATTGGCTGCGAGATGGATGTCATGTTCGGTGGGAGGAGGACCAGCTTGATCGCTTTGAGGTTCTGAATGTCACCATGGCCCGGACAATTATCAACGGCGAAAACAACTTTTCGTCCTGCTGCCGCAAACTTGCAATCATGAAGTCGCACATACTCCTCGAAGATGGCTGTTGTGACCCAGGCTTTCTTGTTGTGTCGGTAGACGAGTTCGTTGGCTGGTGGAAGCGGAGCATTCTTGAAGCATCGTGGTTTCTCTGATTTTCCTAGGATCAGGAGTGGCAGCTTGTGTTCGCCTGTCATATTTGCACTGGACTGATCCTGTCTTTTGGCTGTTTCCGTCCTTTGACGTCAATGTCTTTCGCTGCAAATGTTTTTGTGGGAAGCATCTTGTAAAAAAGAGCTACTTTGTCCAGATTGTAGACGTCATCTGCGCTGTACTTGCTTAGAAGTGGAGCCAAAGTGTGCTCTATCCAATTTTCAACAACAGTCTTGTCTGCGCTGCCGCTCTCACCACACATCGTAAGGAATGTCAAGTTGTTCCGTTCCTTGAAGCAGGAAAACCATCCGTTGCTTCGCCTGAATTTTTCATGTCCAAGTTTCAAAGCTAAATCGTTGGCCTTCTCTCGCAAAATTGTGCCGTCGACAGGGAGGTGTGCTGCGGTGGCACTCTGGAGCCAAATTAGCAGGGCGGCTTGGACGTCCGGGTATCTGGGAAATTGAATTCACGAGCGCTTTGCGGAGTGCGTTTTAAAGTGCGCCTCGATGATCCTTGCTTGGTTCTTCAGAATGGTGCAAACTGTGAAGATAGGCACCTGGTGCTTCTTCCCAAGCTTCGTTTTTGAGCACTTCAATTTGTTTGCTTCTTCGATGAGATAAATCTTTTGCTTCAAGCTTAAAGATTTATACTTGGGCATCTTTGGCCTGTGCACCTTGTAACGGCCCGAACCACAGCGGCGCAGCGACAAGAATAACGATCACTGACACTGATCATCAACTCCATGTGAGGCGAGAGCAACTAAGCCTACTCAACGACTGTCCAAGCCAAGAAAACAAACAAAGGGACTACCGTATTTACTCGCATAATGAGCGCACTCGCATAATAAACACACCTCCCAAAACGAGTACCAATATTTTTTTTTTCCCTCGCGTAATGAACGCACTTCCCATTTTGGGCTCCGCGAATCTCGAATTGCGTCCAATTTAGCTAGCCACTGAGTCGCTTTTCTTTTGTCGCCAAGCGGTCAGACCAAGTCAAGCCAAGCCAAGCCGCTTTCGTTATGGCTGCAAGCGGCCGCAAGTGCGTAGTTGTGGAAGTGATGAACCGTGAAACCGAGTGGCGCGCACACTTGACGAAGCTTGGTTTGAGGAATTGCCCAGCCCCGGACATTCTTCGTCTCGTAGGGGTGGCCAAGCTGTGGCTCGCGAGCTGCAGGCGGCTCTTGGCGTGTTAAGGTGAGGCTTGCGGCTCCCTCCCCTAACCCCCCCCCACACACACACACTCCCCCGTTTCCCTCCCGGTCACACAAACACTTCCCCCAAAGATAAATCAAATACGTTTTAAATTGAAAGATAGGTTGCGGTTTGGTAGTCTCGTGCTACTGCTACCTTACGTACAGCTGGACTGCTTTTGACTTGGACATATTAAAAGTAGTTCAAGTTTCGTTTATTGCACAAGACAAAAGTTTGCACCCCCCTCCCCCCCCGCAGCTCTTGGAAGTTTCGTGGTCTTGTTTGCAGCTCTTAGGCCGGGTCAGCCTGGCCACCCCTGGTCTATCGGATGCATTGATGTCAACAAACACGCCGTCGTCTGTGGTCCGCTTTCAGACAGCGAGTGAAAGTGGTTAGGCCTAAGAACGGTCGTGTTGCTGTGCGTGCTAAGTGAGGTTGGTAGGGTGCTTTTTCTTCCACAAAAGGCACACCAAAAGCAGCCTAGAAAAGGTTTTCAATTTATAGAGCATGATTACTGTGGTGCAACCACAACCCTCCCCCACCCCAAATATGGGTCAATATTTGGGGAAAAAAAGTGTGTTCATTATGCGAGTAGATATGGTACTAAGCGCGTGGACCAGCAAAGAGGAAACGGATCTGTGAAGATGTGCCATGTTTGTTTTTGCTGCTGAATCTGGACGCCAACTGGCAACTGAAAATTGAACCTGGAAGACCAAATCGGCGAATTGACCCGGTAGGCACGCATGGAGCACTCATGATCCAGTCATATTTTCGTGAGAAGCCACGGGACCGTGCAAGTTTTGCAAATTATCCGGGATTACAAATAAACCGAGATAGAATTATGACCCCAATTTCTCTATTAATAATGTGATGAAAGGTCAGAACACAACACTTGCTGAGGTGATTTTTCCGCTCAGTAAAGGTGGGGCATAACCCAACAGCGGTGTCAGCGTGGTGACGATGGGCATTCGTCGGCCAATCGCAAGCCCACCTCTCTTGGAGAGACAGCTTGCAATCGAGGGGTGGCTTCCGATTGGTCGACAAGTGCCCATCGTCACCGTGCTAACATTGCTGCTGGGGTATGCCTTTCCTGAGCGGAAAGATCCGCTCAGAAAGTGGTGTGTCCCGACCTTGCATCACATTTTCAGTGGGGAAATCGGCTTCACGTGATTGCAATTTTATGAATTTTTAGGATACTTTGGGCCTATAGGATGTTTATGTGGAGTTTCACTGTCAGCTGCTTGTGAGTGACGGGAGTGGGTGTGATGACGGGCGATTCCTTGGCATGGTCGTGAGGAGCTTGTGCCCTATGTGCAGGTCCTAATACGGTCAACCAGAACTCTTCCACATTCCTGAACAAGAACAAGGTGTATGTTGCCAATCTTCCCTGTGGAACCACAAAGGTAAGATGTGTGCTGCATTAACCTCTACCTCAGAATTAAAATTTTTTGTTGAAAGTCATACTTCTGAGAAGTAGTTGTATCAGCTTGCAGAGCTCCCAACGGATGCTGTCAGAAAATTTCATTGCTGTAACTAAAGTACTTATCCAGAGTGGAACTTTTCAGACTACCAAACAGATTTATCTCAATCCCCTTTTTGGCAGCTGACATCGTATTGAGAAAACTTCAGTTTCAGTAACAAACTATAGAGAAATCTGGATTTGGTAGTTTTTGTACTAAATTTTTTTGCAGCCAGTTACTATGCTCTTGAATTCTGAATTTTCGTATTGCTTTATTATAAAAATTAGCTATTTGTGAAACCTAGTAAACAGAGAAAACAATCTTCTTTGTCTTAACAAAAACGGCCAAAAAAATGTGATACTTCTTTTCGTAGTAATCCTCTACAGGTATTTTGTATTCATTCTGTCAGAAAAAAACAATTGATTACCTGCACCATTTCAAATTTGTAGATTTTTAAAGCAGGCAAATTTTTTTATTCTTTAAGGATGGCACATGTGATCCTTCAGTAGTGCCTCCAGGTTTGCCTTACAGAGCTGAAAGTTTGCATGCAGTTCTTCTATTTGATTACCTGCATACCCTGCAGATTTCATGTGTAGTAATTCTGTTGAATGTTTTTAAATTCGGTAGCTTTCTATGGTAGACGATGGTCTTAGTTTGGATGGTGCTGGGGCAGGATGACCCCTAGTCTTTCAGTGCCTGGGGTAGGTGGTGCTCTTAGTTCAGCTGGTGCCTAGGGCATGGTTTTGTATGGAAACAGATTACATCACCAGTATTTTTTTGTGGCGCTGAGCACGCTTCCCCTCAGCACTGCCTTTGCGCTGAACGTTTTTTTTTTGCTCACCAAGAAGGAAGAAGCATGCTTTCTTGCCCTTTCCACGCTTTTTTGTTCCATGCATTCTTTCTACACCACCTGTTTCTGCTCCTCTTTTGACCTGTCCAACCCTCTCTGCTTTGTGCGTTTCCTCACACCACCTGCTTCTGCTCCTCCCGTTCCTGCGTGCTGGGTTCGTGGCTCAGTCAGCAGCGCACTCAGCTTCTACGTCGGTGACCCGTATTAAATACCCGCCACTGGTTGGCTTTTTTTTTTCAAGGTCGTTTAGCAGTTACAAATTGACCAACCTCCACATTTCGTGTTTAAGCTTTTCCTGAGGTTGTTTAGCCCTATAAAGCTACTGCTTTAAGAGTAGATCTTTCCACGTGTTTTTTTCCTTTAAAGAACCACTGAACTCTCAACAAACCTTTTTTTGCGAAGTGCTTAGATAGTACATGTATGTCCTAAAACAAACTTTCCGGGAAAATAAAAAAAAATATTTAGCGCAACATTTACATTTTGAGACTAATCGATGAGCCACTACATGGTTACCGCTGGTTTACTCATTTCCGTATGAGTTTGATCGACTGCGTTGCAACTGCTTGTAGCTGCTTACGAAAAGAGAGCACGCTGGCACCACCTATGGGGTGGCGCTGGAACATTTCCACTATGCGTATAACTATACTTCGTTTCACCTTATCTGCGAGCAAAGCCAAAGCTAAAAGCGCGAGACCAGCGCTTTTTGCGTTTCTCCCCAGCTCGCGTGCTCGAGCAAAGCCTGAACGCACGGAGCTTTCGTGCTCGCGCTTCCAGCTTTGCCTTCGCTCGCACATAAGGTGAAACAAAGTATAGACTGAAGGTTTTTGCAGTAGTTGCGAGATCAACTCTACACTCTATCTCTGAGAAATGGCCTTTTATACTACAGTCTAATCTTGATAATCAGGCCTGAAAATTTGTTTGAATTAAATGAAGTTTGATCAAAGGAAGCTCGTCGAACGGAGGACTTGCGTGCAGCGCTGCGTTAGGCGGCATGTGTGCACTGAACTAACAGATGAAGTATGAATTTGGGAACATTTATTTACGAGTAGGTAGTACAGGGCACATTTCAAACGGTGCGTTTGTTTCTTGTCTTGTTGTTTGTTCGTCTCTGGTTCTATTTATGCGTAACTTAAACCAGCTCGCCTTCTTGTTAGCTGTGTCTTTGAAAGGTCCATCAAGCTTATTCACCCGTTTCGTGCGAGTGAATCTCTATGCTACAGCAACCTGAGAATCGCTGCCTTCTTTTGTAGCTTTATGGTCGAGTGCTTTCCACACATATTTCTTACTTCCACACTTTCCACATGATCGAGACGAGATGGAAGGTGCAAGTCCCTGACTACAGAAAGTGAACGAACAAAGCAAAGTGGTAGCAATGGTGATGATAATGAAGCGCAGCTAGAGTACAAAAAAAGCCGTGGCATAGCGTCACTTAGTGGTGGGACTTAACAGGACTCAAGTAGCGCTGCCATACCAAGCCGATCCATGTGCAGCCAACATAGAGTCTAAAATGGTGGCTTCTCAGTGATGCTTCCCGCTGATTGCTCCCGACGATTCTGTCCAAACTTTCGAACTTCAAGCTGCCCGAAACATCAATCGTGAGCATGCACTATTTCTATCGGGTAGGTCACAGTTCCTCTCATAGGTCCGAAACATTGAACCAATCGGCGTCCGAAAAATCGGTTGCTGCAAGGGTTCGAGGTGCCCTCGGCGGTATTTCGTCTAACACCATTGCTGCATTACCCCGACGACACCACTGCCGCCCCCTTGCTGCCTTCCCCTCTGCCAACGTTGCACCCCAGCGTTCAAGGTCACCACGTGATCGGTTGTCACGGTTGCTTGCAACCGAAGACGGGAGTAGCAGCCGGCGTGTGGCCGCGCTGCCGGGTCAAAGGCGCCGCCCTGCGAGTTGGCGTCAGTGTTGTACACGTTCCTCAAAAAAAGGAACGAAAGCTCGTTCCTCGTTCCTTCTGATTTTCGGAACGCGTTCCCGTTACAAGTTCCATATGTGAAAAAGGAACTCATTCCCGTTACAGTTAAAAATATGGAACGTATCGTTACACATACGTTACTTTTTTATTTTGCTGATTACCATATCTAATTAGATTAATCAATTTTTTTTATCAATCTCATCATATGCGAACATACAAATTTATATGTCGTGATGGAAGGGCACCAAGAGAAGAAAACAAGCGGAATCAAGGTTTGATTTGTTAATAGATTCAGGTTTAAAAATCTCATCTTTTAACCACAATTATGTTTGTGGTGAACGAGTCAGACGAGCCAAATGTACTGTTACCCCACATTGCACGAGCGTTTTACAACAACCTCACAGTTTCAATCTAACAAAGTCCCTTGTTCGAACTTAACAGCAGTTTAACAACAGATGCTCCTCGATTTTGCTGTCCGGAAGACAAACAAGTGAAGGAGAGGATAGGGCTTTTGGAAGGTTAGTCTTGAAAACTACAAGTATGTCTTTGTGAAAGTTGGATTCGTTGTTCAGTTTGAAGGTGGGGGACAAGGGGAGAAAGAATAAAGGTTAATTTTTATGTATCTTTTAAGTGACCAATGTTCGGGATACAAGGGTGCGTTCGATGTCTGGTAGTCTGTGATTTTGTTATAACTGTAGGTCTCTTTATGGAAGTTCAGAAATGGCTTTGGTCTGTCTTAGATTTCTGGGAATATGAGGAATAGTGGAAACGGGGGGGGGGGGGGGGGGGGGGGGGCGGCGGCGGCATAGAAAGGAGCTGAGCTTGGAACGTCCCTCTTTCTGTGTCTTTTCCTGCGACTATAAGTTTTGCTTTTTGTACCTCAGTCTCGGGCACTCAAAAAAGAATCAATGTCCACCAGCTCCCCTGCACCCGACTGTTACCAGGCGAAGACCACACAAAATAAACTCTAAGATAAGTAGTCAAAAAGTTAACAGTTAAAAGACAATATGTTCGTAAAGATACAGCTCTTCAAGTACTTATAAAATTTCCCTCTTGGAAATGAAATAAAAAATTACCACACTGAACGAAAGAAAGGAACGCCGTTCCTCTGTCCGTTCTAGTAAAAATGTAACGCGTTCCCGTTCCAGTTCCACCGATGCAAAATGGAACGGTGGCGTTCCTTCGTTCCAAGGAAGGGCGTTCCAGGAACGCCGTTCCGTACAACACTGGTTGGCGTGCTGCCAAGAGCGGGGTCGGCGGCGTGGCACGTGCAAATTAACTGTCGCAAACACTTAGTCATTTGAGTTAACAAGCGTTTTGGCACATTTGGATACGCATAGTTTTGACGGGACCACGGCGTCGGTTCGAATAAGCTGGAAGTTCTAATTAAGCAGATTCAAACTATCGAGATTCGACCGTATTGTCAGAAATATTTTAAGCACACGGCGGAAGAATGACGCCCAATATACGAGTGTTCAAAAATCAGACGTGTTCCAGGGCTTCCCGACAGACGGTGCATTGTAAGTGGTTAAAAGCAGTTGCAAGGCTGTTGGCTCGCACTCAAACTCGAATGTGGAGCGGCGTTAAAGGCACTAAAATGTTAGGCTCTCTGGTTGGATCGGCATTGTCAAAAATAAACAGCCATTTTTTGTGATACTTATCCGACTTGGCGTTAGTCCCCAATCATGTCCTCGTCTTTTCTTCACTCTTTTATCCTTCACAAGCGTCGACTGTGTAGTCTCGCGCACGTACGTTGCACCTCGTTGCCGTGTTTTTGCCGACCGACCAACCGCTGACGCCTTTCGTCTTCCGTGTTCTCGTTTCAGCACGATGTTGAAGAGCTGTTTTCGAAGTACAACACGAAGGACATTCTCCTGGTGACCAAGGGAATTCACCCGTAAGACTTCATCACTTTTGGGGGGGGGGGGGGGGGGGGGAGAAGGAGAAGGGGAGGGAAGGGAAGGGAAGGGAGGGGAGGGAGGGGAGGGAAGGGAAGGGAAGGGAAGGGAAGGGAAGGAAGGAAGGAGGGAGGGAGGGGAAGGGAGGACACGACACCAGGGTGCGTTTTGAGTTTCTTACTTGGATATTGGCCGGTGCTTCTCCCTCAGGGGCTGTAACAGAGGTGCCCATCCGAGATGGGCTTTGCTGCAACGGAAGCCCGCGAAACCGGCTGAATGAGTGAATGAGAGTAACCGAGTGGCAGAGCCAGAGTAGAGGAGTCACGTGTGCAGAAACAATCCGAAGTGCCTGCGGGGAAACAGCCATGCGGATTGGCAAGTTTCGGGCGGAACCCAATTTGTGCTCGGTGTTTGCAAACCGTAGGTCTTGCTCTGAACTCCTACTTCGAGAAATGCTATCGCATTTACCCTTTTATTGACGAGATCTAAAAAAATTGCTTAAAACATATTTTTTTTAAAGATATTAATGTTTAACACGATCAATAAAAACAAGAAAGCTGAAATAAAAAAAAAAGTGAAAGCCGTTTACAACTCCCTGTAACGCCGAATTGGAGCGCAGCTCTTGAGGAGGAGGAGGAGGGAAGGGTACTGAGGGGAGGGTAGACCCTTCCTCCTCCTCCTCCTCCCCTCATTCTTTAATATGCTCCAGGGGGGGGGGGGGGGGGGGTGTCACAGGGGGGTCACATGACCTTGGGAGGGGTCACGTGCCCTTAGGGTGACCTTGGTTACGCCGACGCCGCTCAAGCCGGAAACGGGCGCCTAAGAGCTGCGCTCTAAAAGAATTGTAAGGTAAACTTGCAAGTTATAGCTTTGTGGCCTGCCAGCAACACTGGACAAAAGTCCGAAGGCCTCGCGTAACCTCTGTGGATCACTATAAAATGTCAATAATATCAGTGCGTACGATAGCCTCAAGTAAAACGGTCACCTATCGTAAAATATTGGTGGCGAGAGAAAAATTCTTATCCATATTTTTCACTGTTCCACCATTCTCTACTTGCGCGCAAACTTTTTTTTCTAGTCAAATGTTTATGTATCTTCATTAGATGCCATAGTTTGGATCTTCAAAACTGTTGCCAGACTACTAGATAAAAAATTTAAAAAAATGTGATAAAACCAAAACTGCGAAACAAAAAGTTTGAAGGTTGGCGGAGAATAGACAAGCGTCATAATATACAAAATTGGTTGGGTAGAGAGAGGATTTAATAGGGAACACTACCCAGAAAAAACAATTTCTGCAAATAAAGTTGATTTTGAAAAATTAACATATTTACATCCATCAACATCTAGAGAATACTCGCAGAAAGTTTCATTAGTTTACACTGCATAGTTAATTTTCTATAAATTATTTTCGGTCCACCGATGATAAAGAAAATGTAGGGGTGTGAGCATTTTGAATGCATTTTTCTCCGTTCTACTTTTCGGCATAAATTTCACTTTAGGAGAACTATCGTTTTCCTCTTACAGATTAGAGAATTATTCTTAGGCGGTTTTCTGGGATAGAATTTTGTGAGGAACATGCCTGGCTGTTTAGTTTTTCTACTTTAACTATCTTTTAAGCTAAAAAAAACTACATTTGTAAAAAAGTGCAGACATAAAACATTTCAATCTTAGGAAAAACAATGCAATATAGCAAAGTAACTACCTGGGTATGTGCTGTTGGTATTCCTATGGCTATATTACACATAAAAACCACAATTCTTTATTTCATTTTAAAACGAGTTTTCATGCGTGAACACATTTACCTACATGTTGTAACATTCATAACAAGTTTCAGAATTGACATAGGACAATGAAATTTGGCAGGGATGGTCTTGAAACTCACACAGTCGAATCTCGTTAATTCAAACTTGAGGGGGACCGAAAATTTGTTTGAATAAAGCAAAGTTTGAATTACCGGGAGTTTCCTCCAATAGAGACGCAGTGGATGGGACCTGCGTGTTAGTTTGAATTAACGAAATTCGACTGTATGAACTTTTACTGCATAGCTGATTTAAACCAAGCAAGCGGTACAGAAGTTGACTTTTCTGGGTAGTGTCCCCCCTTAAAGGGATGGTGAACCGAAATTTGGATTTCAGAAAAAAACAATGCAGGAGATGTAGGCGGGACTCTACAATCCCTACAACACTACTCATTAGGCGATGTCTCGAATGGACGGCCATATTTTTGGAAAAAGAGGTCGAAACTGAACGAGGCCGACGAGGCGCTTGACATCAATATATCTCGTTTCCTCCTCTCTTCGCTTTGCCCCCTCAAGGCGGAGAAGACGCAAGGCCGTTCCCTCTCTTTCTCGGAGAAACAAGGCGTAAACATATCTGTCAAATGCGCCTTCTTTTTTTGAAGAATATGGTCGTCCGTTCGAGATATTGCTGCATGAGTGGTGTTTTGGTGTTTGTAGCATCCCGTTGCACGCTTTTGCCGCTATGTTTTGTGGAATTCAGATTTCAGTTCATCATCCCTTTAAAGGGGCAGTGCAACGGTTTTAATGTTAAAAGAATTGCCAGTTTGCATTTTTTATATTGTTTATACAAGCCCAAGTGACCAAAAACGCGTCACCTTTCCCCAAAAAACGGCTATTCTGCTGTGTAATCGCAAGGCAAAAAACAAATTATGTGCCGATCTGCAGCCGCCGGTGGCGGCTACGGGAACTAAAATGACGGCGTTTCGGGGGGATACGGGGAAGTCAACAAACCTTGTCCCCCTCCGCTGCTACACTCGTCGTCAGCCCCGTGGCGAACCGTCCTTTGTGCCGTCCAGAGTTCTGCGTCATCATTTGTTTGCTGACGGACGCAACCCCTTAACAGCTCCCCTGCAAAAATAAATATTATGTTCTTTGTTGCCTATAGGCAACACTCGTCATCAAAAGGTTAAGATCTAACGAAGTTGGTTTCGTCGACCCGTCAACCGACGCCCCCTCGGCGCATCTTTCCTAGGTATGCGTTTGTCACGCTGGGCTCCACGGCTGCGTTTGAGAGCGCCCTGCAGGAGTTGCAAGGGGTGGAATACAAGGGGAGCAGACTGTACGTGGGATTGCCGCTCAAGGAGTGGACGCCTTCCAAAGACCACGCAAGCCACAAGCCATCAAAGGGTATGCGTTTCTTCGGCGGAAAGACAATTTTGTTCTTTTCCTTGCCGATGACTTTTCTTTTCGTCAAAACACGCCCCGCCGTTCTCACGCGACCAGTGACTAGAGCGCAGCAGTCGCGCCAAGTTGCAGTGGCCACAATGGCTTGTGCGAACGAGAACTGCGGAGCGTCCTATTCTGACGCTCGAATGCGGAAGTCAAATGAGAAACTAGCCGCTCCGAGCAATCGGATTGAACAATGAACGGTATTGCTCGCAGGGGCCCCTTCCAAAGAGCAGCAGGCCACGCTCCTCGTTTTCAACTTCCCCTTCAACACCTCTCGGGTAAGTCTTTCTCCATCGTCGTCGATCGAGACGCCTCTTTTTGCGGCCGTGGCGAAACGAGAGCCAGAGCTGGCTAAAGGCAATCGTGATAGAGTGTTACGACGACGTCTTAATGTCTCTCAATGTCGTGAAAGATTGTCTTACGATGATTTTATTAGACGCGTCTAAAGGTGCCGTCACGCTTTGCATGGCACGGTGCGTTGAAAATGTCAGAGTACGACACCTTTATGGTAATGTCACGAAGCATTGTCTTACCACGAGGATGCCGTAAGACAAAGTCTCATGATTGGTTATCGCGAGCCATCGGCTCTGGGTGCGTGTCGTCGCCTTTTCAGAACGACATTCTGGAGCTGCTGTCTTGTTGGGAGCCACTGGAAGTGCGGATGGAAGAGGTGCAACGTTCTCCGGATGCCTAGTAAGTGACTCCAGGCAGTGTGGTCTCTTATGCCTAGGGTTTCTCGTTCCCGACATCAATTCTGCGTCTGCGTACGAGAGCCACTGAAACTGCGTCGACGCACGGCTTAAGAAGTGCACTCTTCCTCGTTGAATTGCTTGAGCCTTGCCGGCTGCATGGTCTCAGTAAGGGGGACTTGACATGACCAGTGTCTTTATGCCGATATAAATTGTTATAATTGTGCACGAAACAGCAGCTGTAAAACGAAGAAAAGAAAGCGTTAAACCATCCCTCGGATTTTTTACATTTCCTTTTGTAGCGTGAGCTACATTGGTCGAGGTTGAGCAGTTTCGCGTGGCTCGCATAATGAGCCGTGCTGCGCATGCGCCAGGAGCAGTGACGTCACACGGTGCACAGCTGGCGTGCCGGAGCCGCTGCGCGCGCCTCGCCGGTCGGCGCATTCCAGAGGAGTGACGTCATAGCTGCGGCGACGCACTGGCGCCGCCGCGTGCCCAGCTGTGCGCCTTCGTTGCACAGTAGCCAAGTCTGACGCTGCACCGCAGCCGCTTGATAGCGCCTCTCATTTTGTACGCATAAGCTCATGCTACGTATATCCTGGCATAGCCGAGCTAAGCCACCGCAATTTTTTTTTGCCAGTCTTTCGTAATTGTGTCTGGTATCGGTGTTGCCAAATCAAGTTCCCGCCGTAGGAATTTCGAAAAACTGCTAAAGTTTGAGAGCAAACAATTTACAGTTATGTAGTAAAATCCCAAGCGAACGTCCACTGAAAATTTGTAGATAATCTTGTGAAACAGGTGGATGGGCGCTCCTTAGGCCAACAATACGTACAGATACGTCCTTCGTTTATTTTTTGAATGTTACGAAACTTATTGCGGAATGGGAGGAAGCTCGGTATTTTATGGCAATCAGTGTAAGAACAGTACAATGAATAAAAGAACCCTTAGAAGGGAGCTACGTCGTTCGACGCAGATCGTTTTCATGCATAGAACAATGTCCTTTGCATGATCTTATGGTTACCAAGTGTTATCTGGTCTGTTGTCTGCCATACCTGCCGATATACACCTGCATTGTTCCGACTTTTGGGGAAATATTTTGTGGCAGGTCAAAGCCTCAGTGGTCAAATTCACGTGCATTGGAAAAAGCTCTTTCGATGGTATCCGACTTGTCTAACGTAGCTTGGAGCTTCCGGTAACCAGTCTGGAAGCCTAGAACCCCATTTCCCCCATGTTTTCTTAATATTTGTGCATAGATCATTGGACCCATTTTATCTAGCAGGCTTCGAAAATGAATTCGTACATTCATGCACAAATTGGTTGAAGATGTTTCGAGGTTTGTCGCTAATATCTCAATGGCGTCGCAGTCGTTAATTTCGCTGACGAAATTTTGCTGCCAGTAGGCAAAAAATGACGATTCCATGACTCTAACTTACCAAAGAAATTAACTAATTAACGTGAAACATTTATAGGCTAGGCTTTCAGGTGAAGTGGAGCCTCAAAACGCGTAACAGATGCGAATTTCCCCGCTAACTTTAGCAGAAAAAATGACACCATATGTCCATGTCACATGACCTGTACGCAAATTCAGTTTCCCCACTAGATTTAGCGGGAAAGTTGACGTCACTTGACCTCAACGCGGAGAAAAAGCGCTTTCGAAAACCAGGCGTCCGCCCCCAAAAGCCAAATTTTGAGCTGAAGTGTACATCTGCCATGTTGGTTGTGGCGGGAAACCAGCGACTGGCTGGGCGACGAGCACGTGCATGTGTGCAAGAGCGTAAAGCAATAGTAACCCTTAACTCGCAGGTGTGGGCGAAAATCAATGACGGTGAGCAGTAGGCCTCGATTGCTGTCGACAACACTATGAAATAGACGTACAACTAGAAATCTCGCTGCAACAAAAATGGTAACGCACGCAGACGTTCGAACAATTTTGCATATGGTCTGTTGCAGGGCAAGTTGCAATACGTTTTTAATTTTTTATGATTCATCAATGTAAATTCGAAAACATTTGAGACCACCAGAAAAAGATGCTAACACGACTTGAAGACTGCTAAAAATCCCTCCGCCTGCAAAATGGTCATTTCTCCCGCTAGACGACTCGGGAAACTGCTAAATTTAATGGGAAAACTGCTAAATGGGCCGCACTGTATGGCATACACTTATGGCCAATTCGTCTGGGGACACATTGCACCGGTGTGGTGCAGTTCTTGGTATAGGGAAGGCTGGAAGGGAGAGGGGAGCTTTTTTCTCTCATTGTCAGCCTTCCGTGTACTAAAAGGGAAAGAGTTTATTGCACTGCACAAGTACGGTGTGCCCCGGACGAATAGGCCATTATTATGTTTTTCAGTAAGCAGTCAGGAACCAAGTCCTAGTCAAACCAAAACTCAGCAAACACTGAATATTTGCCAAGATGGTATGTCATTTTGTTGTTTTGTTGCAATTTTTGTCAAACGAAAGAGATCTGCCTGGACACAAATGGAATCGGCAGTCTCCCAGAAAGATTTGACTTTCCAGGGGCTCGGCCAAAGGCTATTATTTAGCCTATGCGGCTAAATGGTCCTTAGTCGAGCTCTAAGCATGTGCCACCAAATTGGGCTTGTGCGTGATGGAGTCGAGGAGTAAGCTATTGGACCCAGTGCAAATATGGCCGTACGGTGTAGCTCGTTGAATGGACAGAGAAGCCCCTTGAATTGGGCAAGCTTGTTGAATGGGTTCGTGTCCTACAGTGGACATACTATCATAATTCGGCACAAACTCTGGAGACCTCTCCAAGTCAAACAGCCCAGGCATGTACAGTAGAACCTTGTCGATAAAATCTCGGTTGATACGTTTTCCCAGCTGTTACGTTCGAAAACGCCGGTCCCGTGTTACTTCCATAGAGATACATGTATTAGTTTCCTACCTGTTATGTTTGCTTTCCCAGTTGTTACGTCCAAAAGTGTCGGCATCGCGGCGCGCCGAGCTAGCGTGCTGGCTTTCAAGTGAAGCTAGTGGAGCAAAGCTGAACCAAGCAATGCGGGTCCCACGGCACACGTAGACCAGACGCCAGTCTTCCCTTTACTCCTTTCCCCATCCTTTCCATCTCTGTCTCCTCGCTGGGTTTTCCTGACCCCTCCCACAGCTTTCCATCTTGCCCGGGTGTGACCTTGGAGCGCTGCTCGGACGGGGAGCGTGGCTAGCGAGGCTGCAAGCGCTCATTCTCTCTTTCATCTGTCCTTCTCTGGCACAAGGTGCACCGACATGCATGCTGCGCTTCTAGTTTCTGCTCCGCCCGATTGCGTGAACCGTGGTGTTTCGGAGTACAGCCGCTTTGTGCCCATTAACGACAGTCATGGCATCGCAAAAGAGGAAGGCACTCTCTTTTAAAAAGAAGTTTGATATTCCTCTGAACCGCAGAGCATAGCGGACATCGTGGCCGACCTCACTGTTGCCGACAATGAAGAAAGTGATGAAGATGTTGAGCAAGAAACAAACGATTACGCTGCGCCCACGTTTGTGGGCGCGATCGTTGCGTTGGACACCTTGCGCCGCTACAGAAATGTTCTCGACTGCGTGGAGTGTGAGAGGACTGCAGCTCCTGCAGAAACAGCTTTTACTGCTTAACATTAATTCGAAGTGGCAGGCGGATATTACACACTTTTGTGTACATGTCCGAGTCCTCAACAGTTCTGTACGTACGCATAAAATAAACCATTGTATAAGAGCTGCTTTCTATCTCATGTAGAGCCCCCCTAAGTGCGTTACTGGTTGTTACGTTTTCCCGGATGATACATTTTTTCACGCGGTCCCCTGAAAAACATATTAACGAGGTTCGACCGTACCTCAATTCTCAAACTGCAAGTTTGAACAGTTCACACTTCTCGGCGACTATGTCGCAACGTTTGAGATCTGGAGGGAACTATCACAAAGACTGTTGCAGCAGGCTTTTCATTGCACGAGTTTATCGTCTGCTCTTGCTTGGCTTGCGTGTTGACTTTTGTAGGGAAAATGAAATATTATTGCATGTACCGGCGTATGAACTGTTGTCAGCGAGGTATGCTTGCATTCTCTTCGTCGCTTTCCTGATCGGTGAACCGTTCGGACTGTTTTGAACCTCGAGACAAGAAGCGTCTTTTCTTCACGGGGAACGTCTTCACGGTCAAAATCGTGATCTTTGTATTACCGGATTGGTCAGAGCGGCTGCGAGCCGGGATTTTCCACTCACAAAAATGCTGGACGGACGGGGATGGAACTGCTTATACTGAGAGAATTTGGCGGATGGGCGGAGCTTGTCGCCCGCTAAAACCAGCTTGAACGAGCCGGCTTTGCGACAGCAAAAGATGAAGAGCCGTTTTCAATTGGCCACCCCACTCTGAATGAGCCTTATCAAGTTTGCGTTTGCAAGTAGTGTTATAAACCGATTTCATCGACATTTTGTTCCGCTTACAATTAATCATTGTGTTCAAGTGCAGCTTATTTTATATTGATCTCCAACAACAGAGCTACACAAACAAGCTTTCTTTCCATTGGTTTAAAAAAAAAAAATGCTTTCTGTAAAAAAGAGTCGGGCAATGGAGTGCGCATTGTGGTGGTGGCGACAATATTAAAAATTCATTTCCGGTAGAAAAAAAAAAAAAAAAGAACTAAAGAATGGTGATATTTTTGGGGATTGTTGGAGACAAGGAAGTTTGGGCTGTTGATTGCACGTAAAGAGCGAAAGGATGCCTCCGTGAACGAGAAGACCTTTTTAGTGCGACGACGTGTCACCGCAGACTTGGGGTGGCCTATTCAGAGTGGGCCGCACATTAGTAGCACAAGATGGCAGACATAACCTCTGGCTGTAGTTGCCGGACTATCGGCATGTTCAAAAGAACGCCAAACTCCTCTCCCAGTATAAATGACTCCGGTTTTGATTGAATGTTCAGTGTTCCCCGCAGCCGCTGGGAAGTGTCAGTGGCACAAGTCTGAGCGTGTGTTTTCCGACGTAGCACCCACGCCCACGTCACGCTCGGGAGCCTGGAGGCGGCGGACGACGCAGTTCTCAGTCTGGACGAGACCCCGTTCCGCGGACGGCTGTTGGGAACGGCGATCCTCAGTAAGTATTTGCCGTGGAACACGGGCTCTGTGTGACCCTCTCCAGCTTGTTTGTTTATCGAAGTTGCTGTCCATCTAGGACAGGGTACAGTAACTGTGGAGCGTGGGTCCTTGAAAAGGTTGAGAGCCCTAGGGCAGGGGTTCTAACCATTGATATCTCGAGGACCCGTGGCACAAGGAACAAAAGCATTGAACGAGCCACACTTGGTGCCTCGGTTACTTCAGTAAGTCACCGAGGCAACAGCAGCGAGTGAGGTCGCCCATACTGCAAACTTGGAGCATTTAACAAAGTGCTAAGCATTAGTGGCAATATTAAAACAACAGACAAGCTGCTGGGAAGTCAGTCCGCTTTGATAAACCGCCTTAGGAGAATACGCTTTTTCGTCCTTGTTGTGGAATCGGGCTACTTTTAGAGCTCCGATTCTTTGAAGATGTTTTCATCAGTTACGTTTCCCCGCTTCCTTGAAATACATTTCCGGCGACGCTAAAGAGTCGTGTTACAGAATGCGCTCGAAGGAACGGCAGTGGGGTGAATCTTAGGAAACTGCGCCTTCATTGAGGACAGTGGGTAATGGGTTCTGTGCCTTCCCGTGTTTGCTACCTCCGGGTTTACATTCGGTTCGTTTCCGGTTCTAGAAGGTTCAACCAACGAACCTGATTGTGCTCGCTGAATGAAGGACATTCCCAGCTGTAGAGTTCAGTACAGCAAAGTTGATCGTTGAACTCGTCAGTCAAACTGCTCTACTGACGTGTCCAGCGATATACGTTGCTGTACTGTCATACAGTTTAGTTGTTTTTCGGGTTGCCCACCTACCGTTTTTGCAATAAACGCATACTGATGTTGGAATAAAAACGAGGTCATTTAAGCGGTGTTGTACACGTTACTCCTCAAAAGTAATGAAATACCGTCACTCGTTACCTGTCCTCAAAATTAACTCAGTATGTTACTCGTTCCTTTGCTAAAAAGTAACTAAACACGTTACTCGTTACCGAAAGTAGTAACTAGGTAGAAGTAACTTGTTACTTGTAACGCGTTACATACATGTCTGGTTGTAGGATTAACATTGGTAACCTATAATGTTTTAAAGGGAGTGTGTTATAATATTTCTAGTTTCGGTTTGAACTGCCAGTGATCGGCCCCAAGGCAGTCCGTCTGTGATAAAGGAGATTGTGTTGACTCCGGGACAGCGGCTTCTTTAGCCGAACAGCCCTTTAGTGGAAGGAACCTTTTGTGCGTCGCCCAGCAGAAATATCACTTTAACTCACCTTTGCAGGGAAGGGAGCCAAGCCGTCGGATCAGCACTAGACCGACTCGGAGCCACCTGGGCGTCTTCACCGCAAACTCCTACCCCTGCACCCAAGGTCGTGAGTGAATTGTGGGTGTGCGTGCAAGAAGACGGCGTGTTCCGACAACCAGTGCGTGTCATCAACCTTAGTAGTGTGTTCCACCCGAAACCAAAAGACTGGGATGTCTGGCAGCCCGTCGAAGCTGCGACTGCTGACATTTGTTTGCCGGACTTTTCCTCGGCAAAAGGTTACTTTCCAAGATTTGTTGGATGTCCGTTAGTTGCGGGAAGTCGTCACGGCCACCTTAGAAAAGTGCCGCGTCGGCAGTTGCCGTCAACGACGAAGTCCACGCGGCTCTCTTTTTTCAGCGCCGTTCGGTACAACGGGTAGGAAACAAATGAGGTACGCACAAACATAGACAACTATATTTCTTCATTGCAAAAGGGGAGAGAAAGCCACTTGTAAGTACACAAGCGGTTTCTCCGTTGCGAGTTTTTTTATGTACAAAAATGGCTGGACGGTCGTATCCAGCGTTTGTTCAAAAGGGGCAGTGCTGTGTAGTTGGTTTTTGTACTTGACAACAAACAATCGATGCAGAAGAGTGCGAAGTGTGCACAAAGGATGCGCGACGGTGCAAGTGGAGGCGGTGCTGCGACGAAAATGCACGTCTGCCCGCGGTCTTCGCAGCCGAGACACGTTTCGCCACATGCCCCACCTTGTTCTCTCTCTATAATAAAATACTTTGAAAGCTAATCGAAGCTTCTGTACAATGGCGGCGCGCGTGACTGGACTACTCCCCCGACACAGGCGAAGCACAGCTTCGAGTACGCTGGCGTCTGTAACCCACACAAGTGCTCTTCCATAACTATTAACAGAAAATCCCGTAACTCTTGCGGCTGTTTCACACATTTCCTTTCTCTTGTAACCGAGTGTTACACCTTTCCTTTTGTAACCCCTTAATCATGCTGGTGCACTGGTGCCATCTACTGGGTAGTCCTGGTACACTTCCAACCCGTGTATGTCCATTTTTACACGTCATTCTTTCACCTTAAGCGCGAAACGTTCAGTTTAGTTACACGCAGGTCGGAACTGTTCCAGAGCTGCCCGATGGTTCGCGCCAGTGTGTTGGGGGGTTACACGAGAACGCAATACGCTCAGTTACGAGAGAACGCAAACGCGTTAACCAGCTTTTGCAGAAGATTGCGAACCCGCACAGCACCACGAAAGTTCTCCGTAACGCTCACTGAAGATCTGCCGTACTTCAGGCGGAAGATTTCCCGCATCTTGAACGGACGACTCGGGTTGGGGGCGGACGGGCAAATGGGAGTCACAAGGACGGCAGTCACAGCTCTGGTCACACAAGGGTGGATAGTTCGAGCGTGTGGGTGAGGTCCGGCTGGACGCCGAGCGCCCTGCTCTCGACGAGCTCACGGGTGGCGCAGGTCTTCTCCCATTGCCAGAGGTAGACGTTGTGGACGGAGGCAACGCCGCAGAAGACGATGCCGAGGCCGATGACGACGCTCGTGACGATGGCTGGCAGCTCGTGGAAATGGATGAAGGTGAAGAGGATCACCCCTGCGGAGGAGCGAGCGAGACAACATGTGAATTAACAGACAAACTAATCAAGTGCATGTCACAGAGCACTTAAACCGGCATTATAACCCCTTAAAGGGGTTATGACACGTCAAAAATAAAATATTACATAACTATACTGCTAGGACCCATTGTATGTTCCTATAATCCTGCTAAATTTGTTTTGAAAAAGGCGCGATAGTTTCTTGGATAAATCGATTTATATGCGGGCCCCTCGGAGGGGCAGATCCGGGCAGACCTGGAGGCTGATGACGTAGCCAGCCTCCAGCGTGGTGTCTAATTGCACGCACTCACAGACTTGGCTCTCTTGGCGTATCGAGCCTCAGCTTCCTCGTTAACCTTCCACGTTTCCAGCATCCGGTCTGTGACGATTACGTCTACGGCATCGATCGCCTTGTCGAAGTGTTCGACATTGATCGCAGCAGCAATGAGAGTGATTGCTATCAAGAAATGTTGGAAGCTGTTCATTTTGACTGCGACCCGCTGGCGACGAGCTCCAGCGACGACGAGTTCGCTGTGGTCACCGTCGTCCGGGAATGTCTCGCAGGCGCATGCACGCTGGAAGGTCAACCGGACGGGGGGTGAGAGCGAGAATAGCTTTCAGTTTACCGAGGTGTTTGAGCGGTTTTGTTCATACCGCGACGAGAAGAGCTTGGGCGATCATGGGGGCGCCTAGAATGAGAGAGTGTTCATGGTCACGTGGTTTATGGACACCATGGTGTGACTAACTTGAGCAGTGTTGCCTGGTCGCCAGATGAAAATTATAAAAATTCGTAAATTGAATATTGCAATTATCAGAGCTCTAAAAATTGCGTAACTTGGTGTATATATTAAGTAGCCTATGAGCATTCCATTTCAAGAATAATCTATCCGTTTAATTTTCGTGTCATAACCCCTTTCAGCATGTTTAGTTTTTGTGAATTTCAGACTCGACTGTTTAACTGTTTTCAAAATGAAATTTCTAGCCACAAACAAAATGGGAGCGAAATTTAAGAAAATGTCAGTGATAGGACATCTGCTGCCAGAGCTGCAAACTAGGCTATCAGCGAGCTTGGGTCGTCCAGAACAGTTTAGCTGCGTGAACTACGAAAGCAGACAACGGTTTGGGGACGGCTCCATGTTGACAAGCTAGGCTCGTCCAAAGCAGTTAAAGGGGCACTGACACATCAAAATCATATTTTTTTTATTATCCGAAATGATTGAAAACGATGCCGGGACATTACCCTCAAAATTTGAGATTTGGGAATTCAGTATTCGTGAAGTAAAAAAACAATTTCCAAATGCCGAATTCGAAGTTCCCGCGCGATCGGCGCCGGTGCCTTGACGTCAAAAATCGCGGAGACCTGAGAGTCGACTTCCTTTCACCACTCCCTGCTGTTGCCATGGCGACCCAAAGCGAGGAGGAAAGGAGCGAGCGCCCGGCGTTGTGGCGGACCGGTTTTGAGCGGTGTCGCCTGTTTTCCGTTGGAGGATACAAATCCAGGAGACGGCACCACAATGAACTCCCGATTTTTGGTATTTCAAAAAGAAGGGCCGTAGTGCGTTCGCAATTGCGTTAAAAAACATGTTTTAGGATTGCCGTACTTAAATGTTATAGAGATGTCGCCTACAAAGCTTCTAAATTTTCTGATTTTTGACGTCACCGATCAAAAGAAGCGAGGAGGCGAGACGCGGGAAAATCAAACGCCAAAAATAAAAAGGTGCGCGCGCGCGCGGGAAAATTTTTTTTCGCGATGCGGTTTTTTTTGCGTGTCTATGACTGCAACTTGCATCGTTTTAGACAATAAAAATAAATACGACCTTTGGGGTGTCAGTGCCCCTTTAAGGGCTAAAGTGAATTTTGAATTTCTGTTTTTATGGTGTAAGCCTAATTTATCTGCCCCTAAGCACCCAAGAATACCCCAAAATACAATATAATGTGGCCTTTCTTTCTCTTGAAAGCTTGACCATAAACGCCCCTTTTCGAAGATATATCTAGGATTCCGTGTTTTCGGAGTTTATTTCTCGTGGAATTCAGAGGGTGTTTCTTGGAGTTTATTTTTCGCTGGGATTTGGGGTTTATCGGAATTTATTTTTTGTTAGATTCCCTATTCTTTGAAATTCTAAATTTATTTTACTGCGTAAGCTAAAAAAAAAATAAATAAGGTTTGGGTACCATAATCGTTGTTCCGAAGGAACCTCGACATGCTAAAAGGCCAACCCCTTTTGTCAGTTGTTCTAGATTTCAAACGAAACTGAAGTGGAATCTAATCGGGCACAAGGTTCCAGGAATCTCCTGGAACCTTGTGCTTTTATAAAGTTTAGTTGTAAAACACCGTCTTTTTTGCTGTTTATTTTGTCGCTGTGAACTCGAAATTCAATATCCGAATTGACGGAAAATTTACAGGCGAGTGTTTTTCCGCTTTATCCGAAAACACGGAACCCTAGATATATCTCAGAAAAGGGCCGTGCCTGAATGTTTGGTTGTGTTTTTAATGGGGCAAAAGGTTACGCATGGTAATTCTGGATTTTTCAAGACGCTTAGGGCACATAGATTGAGTTTGAATGATAAAAAGACAACCTCAAAATCCACTTGGGTGCCCCTTTAAGACACATTGGCTTCTGTTGGTTTTGTTTAGATTGATGTTGTTTTACTGTCGCACATGTAACGTGCATCCATGTCATGTCGCCACAAAGTCTACCATCTCCAAGCATGCGAGTGTCCTGCTTTATAAGCATTCTTGAACTTGAACTTTGGCATGTCCGGTTTGTGTGCAAAGCGCCAGTTGCCATTTTCGTTTTTTCCCGCCGGCAGTTGTATATAAAAAAAATATAAAAGCCTTGAACGTATCAACGAGGTTCTATTGTATACCATCAACATTCTACAAACTTCCAGTGTTAACCCCAGACGTTGCTTCAATGTTGCTTTACTAAACAGCACAGAAGTGCCGTTCAGTAAAGCAACATTGAAGCAACGTGTGGGGTTAACAATGGAAATTTGTAGAATGTTGATGATATACAATAGAACCTCGTTGATACGTTCACGGCTTTTATATTTTTTGGCTTTTACATTAAAGTTTTTTTGTATTACACATTTTTTTTCCTGCGGTCACCGGAGAAACAGATCAACAAGGTGTTACAGTAGATGCAATAGCCCCTTTCCAAAAATTGGGAAATGATGCACAGATTATGCGCAGCCGCCATTAGTTCGTTTCGTCGCTTCTGGCGTGAAGCCCTTGATTGGTTTCTAGTTCGCGTCGAGCACTGACGCAGGACTTGTGTGGAATACTTTTCGGTCAGAGTACACTCCAAATGCTGACGAAGCTGGTGTCCAATGCGTGCTCACAATGCATGACCAACTAATGGCATCCGCACATAATCTATGCATCATTTCAAAAGGGTCCATTCCTTCCAACACATGTCCTCGGTGAAAAATGTGGACGCAGGAAGCAAACGTGTCGAGGGAGTCTGCACTTACAGTCTCTTCAGTAGGTTTATTCCAATCTGCAATACTGCGTGGAAAGTGGATTGTGTATTGACCCTAATGTTCAATCACCACGTTGGTTCTGTGTTCCTCGTGATGTCACTCGGCGCTGAACTCGGAAAGACACTTGTGGCGAAGAACGGTGTATTTCTAACAATGTGCAGCAGAGTGATTTGGAAGACTCGGTAACAAGGACGGGGATTAACCCTGGGCACGTACCTGTGAAAAAGACTGGTATTGACAAGAAGAACCCTGCAATGGCCAGCACCCGGGTGTGGGAGCTGCGTTTGATGAACATGTTTGTCCTGCCGAGAAAAGCGGTTGATATCAGACTTTCTGTGGACCGCAGCGGCAAAACACTCCAGTACTGATGTTGTGACATCTCACTAACAAGGATGCTGTCGGCACTGAAATGATTATAAAGCACAGAGGATGAGGATAACCGAGGTGGGATGAGCATACTTTGCACTATCTGTGTTCATAACATTCAAAAATCACTAGCCTATTCGATTCTATTGGTACAGCATAAAGATGTTATGACGGCACTTCTGTGACCGGCTCTTTCGGTGTAACAAGAGAATGTCGCAAGAGTTCATGTCACGAGAAATGATGTCACGAGAGGATGTCGCACGAGGATGCTGTGCAGTCTTGACATCAAAGTAACGGTCTTTCTTGACATTAAGGTAACGGTCTTCTACCATTACTTTGCTTTCGGGAGACATTGATATCTTCTGGTGAGGGCAGATGATGTCGGAAGAGGCCATGTTGCAAAGCCATGCCATCGCTGCATGGCAAACAGCTCTGACGCCAGCACTCACCTAGCGCACGCTGCATTGTTTCCACGCTCGCTGCATATTTGTTTGTAGTGATATGGTGAGCACTTGCTGCATACCGCAGTGCTCAAAGCATGCTTTTGAGCCGGGTATATGCAGCATGTACGCGACGATGCGGACACTGTTTGCCGTTCGCTTGGGTGCAATGCTGCACTTGATGACATGATCGCAGTTCAGGGGCGACAAGGGCGGCCGCCCTCCCCCAGACAAAGTCGACCCCCCCCCCCCCCACCCTCCCTTCCCCCTCTCGGACAGCAATTTGACATGGGTGGACCCCCCAAAATAAAACTCGACTACCGGCCTGCCAGGTGGTAGAATGCTCGGTACTCAAGGACGAGGGTTCAAAATAGGGTAGGTCGCACCCTAGCAGGCTACTTGTACTCTGAACTTGGAGAACCACTCCGTCGCTTCAACCGAGACTGAAACCGCGGCGGTTTCAAAGTACGGCTTAGAGCAAATAAGTCGGCGCAGCGGCGCACATCTAGGAGCCGTCGGCGCAGTGTGTTTCTGCGGCGGCTAATACAAAAGGCGCAACCGGCGTCCTGTTTATCTTACTTTAGATTTTCCCGCCCTTCCCCCAAAACGGAGTTCTGAATCCGCCCCTGTCGCAGTTGAGCATGTCCTCTCCTTCAACGAAAGATTGCTTGCTTTCGTCAATGTCGTCTATGATTGTTGCAAGACGGTAACGGAAAAGTGAAGTGCGTGCTTTGTGAATCGTTCAGAAAAAAACAGACGCCGTGCCAGCCACGCACAATCTATCACGCGCGGCCGACCTGACGCGGCCAGCCCGGCAGGCCAGCATACCGTACTTATTCGAATCTAGGCCGGCCCCGATTGTAAGCCGACCCCAAAAAGTCCGAAGCCAAGGAAAAAAAAGTGAAAGCCGTTTACCACTCCCTGTAACGCCGAATTGGAGCGCAGCTCTTGAGGAGGAGGGGAGGGTACTGGGGGCCACGTGTTCTCGGGGGGGGGGGGGGGGGGGTCACGTGACCCTTCCCCCCGAGGGCACGTGACCTTGGTGGGGGCACATGGGGGCAAACACGTGCCCCCTCCGAGGTCACGTGACCTCGGGAGGGGGTTACGTGACCTCGGGGTGTGACTCCCCAGGTCACGTGACCCCCCGGGTCACGTGACCAAAATTTTCCGCTAGATTTAGCGGGGAAAATTTTCCGCTAGATTTAGTGGGGAAATTTTTTCCGCTAGATTTAGCGGGGAAATTTTTTCCGCTAGATTTAGCGGGGAAATTTTTTCTGCTAGATTTAGCGGGGAAATTTTCCACTAGATTTAGCGGGGAAATTTTTCCACTAGATTTAGCGGGGAAATTTTTCGTTAGATTTAGCGGGGAAATTTTTTCCGCTAGATTTAGCGGGGAAATGTTTTTCGCTAGATTTAGCGGGGAAATTTTTTCCGCTAGATTTAGCGGGGAAATTTTTTCCGCTAGATTTAGCGGGGAAATTTTCCGCTAGATTTAGCGGGGAAATTTTTCCGCTAAATCTAGCGGGGAAAGTTTTTTCGCTAGATTTAGCGGGGAAATTTTTCTGCTAGATTTAGCGGGGAAAGTTTCCCGCTAGATTTAGCGGGGAATTTTTCCCGCTAGATTTTTCCGCTAAATTTAGCGGAGAAATTTTTCCGCTAGATTTAGCGGGGAAATTTTTCCGCTAGATTTAGCGGGGAATTTTTTCCGCTAAATCTAGCGGGGAAAATTTTTACGCTAGGCTTAGCGGAGAAATTTTTCCGCTAAATCTAGCGGGGAAATTTTTCCGCTAGATTTAGCGGGGAAATTTACCCATAATGCACCGCGCCGTTACGCCGACGGCGACGGCGACGCCGCTCAAGCCGGAAACGGGCCCCTAAGAGCTGCGCTCTAAAAAAAAAAAACTTACCTCGATTGTAGGCCGAATGAAAAGGCTAGGACAGCGCTCACAAAAAGGAGACATTTATTGAACATAAAGAGGTTCAGTTTTCATGTTCACCGGATCATGAAAAGGCTGCGGTGACGGCCTTTGACCGGACCACGAAAAGGCCGTGGTGACGGCCTTTTCGTGGTCTGGTGAATGCCATCCTCGTTGTGGCGCGCGCAAATATCCTCTGCCGTTGCCTCCTCCAACGACGGACATTTCTTTCATCTACGCTAAGTCCTGCCCGGCTTCAACGTTCGCGACGACGACTCCACGGCTAAAACAACTTTTCTTATAAAGGGATATTCAACAAAATTTGAAATATTCCCGTCGTGTTCAAAAATAGGTTGAATATGATCCACAATATCCGTAAATGACAATCGCACGTTTGTATTTTGATCCTGGTGGCTGTATTTTTCGTTATAAACGGCCGACTCTGGCAAGCGCTCGGAGAAGGCCCAGCTTAGAGCACGTGACATACAACGCAATCGTGACGTAGGTCGTCTCAAGACGAGCAAAGCTACGGCGAGGCTGTCGTCGAGAGGATGGCCTGGTCGTTCCAGCCACCGAAGCGGCTGCTTTTGTACGAATTTCGAGTGACGGTTTAATCTTCTATAATCTTCTAGGGGGGCAATAGCGACTTCTGGGACCCACAAAAGGCATTCTCGGGAAGAGGGGAGTTCCTCCTTCCCTCCTTCTCTCATCGTGGCCGGATTTGAGACAACCTCCGTCACTAGTTGTCAAGGTTCCTAGACGAGCATTAGAAACGAGGCGTTAGCGACATCCACCAGGTGCTCTTTGCTAATCGTTTAATTCGTTTTAAAATTCCTTCTCGAGACTTTTTTAACAAGATATTGGTATGTTCCATGTGATACTGCTCTTTTGAACACATATAGACCAAAAAATGAGCGCCGAAATTTCGTTGTAGTATCCCTTTAAAAGCGGAAATCTAATGGCACCGCCTGTTTGGTGCCAATGTGCTTTTAATAAAACGAAAACGGCACGCCGCAAGCAAGCCACTATCAACGCAGGTCAAAATGGCGGCACCGCTCGTCTACTTAAGTGGCTACTGGCTCGGCTAGTAATGGCTACAATCCTTTCTTTTCTAGGTGGTGCTAACTGCGCGCCACTTTCTTCAATTTTACTTGGAATTTGGCGCGTGTTTCAAAATCCTCGAATCTAAGCCGACCCTAGAGTTTGAAGTATCGGTATATTAAAAAAACTATCGGCCTAGATTTGAATAAATACGGTATCACGGCGTAGCGTACACAGGTATTTCGAGGGGGGGGGGGGGGGGGGGGGGGCAGTGTATTATATTTTTGAGAACCACCCCTCCCCCTTGCCTTAAATTTTTACACACGCAGAATTCAGAAGGGGAGTCGGGACATCCAGACCCTTCCTCTGAATCTGCCACTACTATACTCGGCGACAACTTTTCTTGGCAATGCAGTGGTCTTCAACCACCAACGTTTTCGGGGATCTGGCTCGATAAAAGCGATGGAGGACCCCATCCACGAGGAGGGAGAGGAGGGTATTGAACGATTACGATGACCAAAGGGTAGATGAAGGAAACAAAATGCGTGCAAACTAATTTTGAAGCTCTGGAACGGAGAATAATCGACTCTACTCGCTCAATGTGGCAGGTGTGGTCTATTTATCTTCATGGGACAGCCGACACCAATAAAAAAAATTTTAGTGCTCGGCTTCGCTGATTGACCGACTCGGGAACCCCAAGAAGGCTTTCTGGATCCCAAATGGTCTGCATACCCCCATTTGAGAACCACTGGCCTATGGGATGCTGAACACAGCAGTCAAAGACATATTGCAGGATTGCACGAAAGGCATAGCGGGCTAACCTGTCCAGCCCGTTGGGCGTCCTCAGCAGCTTGACCCCCAGTAGGAACTGTATGCAGCAGACGAACAAACAGCACAGGTTGAGCGAGATTGTCAGTGTGCTCATGGCCACCGCAACCTGGTATAGCGCGAGGTGTTCCTCGGGGCTGCTGGCACTGTTGGGCCCTGCGCTGGCGACCCGTTGCAAGAAGAACAGTGCTAGGAAGGCCATGAGAAGGGACAGCAGGCACAGCAGCGCCAGGGACCCCAGCAGCTGATGCACCGCCAGCCTGGGCGCCGAAGCCAGCTGGAGCCGGCGTCTCGCTGCGTCTGCGGCCACCAGGAGTGGTGTTCCTGCCGCGGAGTGCTTGCTGAGGGAACTGACATTGAGGAGCTGCCGGCTGGACATCTTGAGGGCGGGCGGCGTAGCTCCCGCCTCGAGGCTTGCCGAGCTGGACATCACGGCGCCCGGGCCATAGCCTGAGGCTCAGGCCCGAGCGTGGCTGCAAGAGATCAAAGGTGGCAGTATGAGCGGGGGAGTTGCAGAGGATGATGATCTGTATGGGAAGTAACAGGAGACATTGGTTTGTGCAGGGCATAGCAGACGAGATCGGTTTGTGCAGCAGGTAGCAGACGATTTAACTTCATATGACAAGTAACAGGCGGCAGGGATTTGTGTGGAAAGTAGCAGATGACGATGGTTTGTGCTAAAAGGAGCAGTTGACAATAATTTATATGGGAAGAAGCAGACGAGAGATTTGTTGGGAGGCAGCAGGTAACAATGACTTGTGTGGGAAGTAGAAGATTCATTTGTGCAGGAGGTGGCAGACAGCATTGGTTTGTGCAGGAAGTTCACCCCCAAGCCGGGACTTCGGGGGGAGCTACGCTGTCTCCGGACCAATCAACCACCTCCCTTTCATCACTTGACCCAGCTCTCTATGCGAGGATGTGGGCGAGAGTGTAATTATCCGGTGAAAGATAGACTTATGACTGGTCCAACGTGCTCGTAGCTTCCACTGCAGTCTCAGCATAGGGCCAAATGGAGACTACAATGATTTATAAGGTTCCATGTTTTCGGATAGATCCGAAACACTCCGAAAAAATACTCGCCGGTAAAATTTTTGTCAATTCGGATTTACCCGATAAGCTCTAGACTTCAATGTACCTATAAAAAAAAATGTAGATGGTATTCTACAATTAAGTAAGAAAGTGCCATCCCAGTTTCCTCTCAAATCTCGGACCACTGTTTATCTCGTCAAAGTTTATTCAGGGTCAGAACAGAAGTCACTGGTTTGTTTTAGTTTGGACCATGCTATTGAGGTCTCTTAGAGCAATGAGGGGTTCTTTTTCTAACGGTGAAAACTATGAACCATAAAGATTTCACGGAAGGGGGAGAGGTGGAGGACAGTTCCAGCTTTTATGTGATGCCTGAGACTGGAGCAGAAAAATTTAAAAAACCTGAAGTCGAATTATACATAATTCACTAGCTCGCCTGCACACTCACTGTTATTTCATTAACCTTCCCCTTCCCCTCCCCTCCCCCCCCTTTCAGCTCTGCGGGGTAGGGTGTGATGGATGGTATGAAAACAAGATTCCCAGCAACAATCATTCTAAGGTATCTTTAATGAAGTTTTGATTTACCGTAATATCCCGAATCAACGCTTATCTCCGAGTCATCGCTCTCCCCCCACACACATTTTCAACAAATATTGGTTAAAAAAAAACAAAACTGAGTGATGCCCGCTTCTACAAGCACCTTAACGCGGACTCCCCAATCCGTGATCACTCGCCCTACCCAAATGACATGGCCGCGGACCTTACGGTTGGATGATGTCCGTGACAATGTAAAACGAATGAGGGAAGGCACTTTGTTTATGCATTTCCTCCCCGATATCCGAGACCCCGAAGTCGAGAGTTCATGCGTACGAAACAAATACGATGAAGATATCAAAATGGAACCTTGTTTTGCTTACAAAAACTTCTTTAGAACAAAAAAAAAAAGGTCGGAAAGGTAATAGTAGCAGCAGTAACACATTCAGGGATCATGAGGTCAGCTAACGTCCCTATCCTGGAATGCAACCGCGGAGTGTAAGGTCAAAGTCCGTCTCCACCGAAATAAGGTCACCGAGAACCCGCTCCTTCTCCAAGAACGTTGCGACCGCGGTTGGTAAGCTTGTTCATTGTTTGAGACAAAACCAACGGGTGAATAAAGGTTTGCTGGAACGCCACATGGACGTTTGTAAAGCGTCTCATTTTGAGCTGCGTGTTCGTGGTGCCATCCACACCACGCAGCAACGCCGCCTCAAACCACGTCGAAGCACACCACAGACGCACGCATGTATGCAAGGACAAAGTTGCACAAGAGCCTGTTCCTTGTGATTGACAAGACGCCAACTTCATCCGATGCTAAAGTATTCGCCAATGCGATCGCTGGCTTTCCCGCTTCCCCAACATCGCTTCTTTTGCTTGCTCGCTCGTTGCGCCTAAGGACTGTTCAGACACTTGCGACTTTTTAAGACCGAGGGCCTTGGCACCTTTTAAAATCTTTTACGACGAGAGGAGACACTGGCACCATCTATTGGATAGCAGTGGAAACTTGGCGGTCCCGCATATTTTGTATTTCTCTCGCGCATCATCCTTTCTTTCTTGACTCGAAAAGCTTTTGTCAACGTTCTGGACGACCATTTTTTCATAGGTATTACACACATTTGACCTCGAAAATCCCTCAGAACCTTCGTTCTAGTGAAATGCAGTTCCAGGGTCACCACATAGATGGCGCCAGCATGCCAGTGTGTTCTCTCGTAAGAAATTTTAAGAGGTTTCAAGGCATTCGGTTCTAAGGCGTTGCAAGTGTGTGAACGGGCCTTAAGGAACCTTAGTTGCGCCTGGTTGGTTTTTCTATTTTGTTGCTGAGCGGTGTTCAAAATGTGCATTCACGGAACAAACATTTGCGCTGTATGCCAGCAACGGACTTTGCTATCGTAAAGCATTCTTTCATGAGCATTTCTTGCATCAAACAATGAAACAAATTCTAATTTTTAGCTTCGCCATGCAACTTTTTTCTTTTTCTAAACTTGTGTTTATCCACCAAGACATGGCCCGTCCCACTTTTTGTTTTAATTTCGGGCAGCAGGGGGGTGGGAGATGACTCGTGATATTATGTAGGTTGGTAATCGGGGAGAAGTCGGGTTGTCCTGTTTCCTGGCATCGGAGCTTACAGATGTGAGAACTACATTTCCTTTCTCTGGACAAGCGGTGAGCAAGAATACCAGAATATATGTATATCTTTCTCAGTTTGTTTAGCACAGTATATTGCAAAATCGAAATGCCTCAAGAACTGTGCTCTAATTCAGAAGTACAGAGATATTTAAATGTCTCATTTTTTTTTCAATCCACTGTTTTGTAATTTGGCTTTTTCTGTTTATATTTAGAAGTAAATATGTATTGATCAGTTGAGCCCATGCGGGTCAAGAGGGAAACAAGCACGCCGACAACCTTTCCCGCGAACTAACCGCTGAGGCAGACACCACACAGGCCTCTCAATCCCCGACCCCACTAACAGGCTACAGGGACATTCTAAATCACTACCGCGCGGATAAGGCCAGATATTCAGAACTACACAAGACACTCGCCTCAAGGCATCAGGCAGTAATAATTAGACAGGTACAGGCCAAAGCACTACCAAATCCACACATACTAAGTAAGATACACCAAGACCTTTACCAACCCAGCTGCCGGAGGTGCGGGGATCGGGCAGACAAGCAACATATTGGAAGTGCCCATATATCATACCCAAGGTCTTCAAGACAAGTAACGAATGGGAGGCCACGGTTGTAAGCCCCAGCAAGGACACCCGATTGGCCATCGTACAACTCACGGAAAGAGGTGCAACTCAGGACTTGGATCCTCCAGGACCCTGGGGACCACTTCCCAACACCAACTGAGCAACACAGGCACGAAGGGGAGCCCAGACTCAACAGACTTCGAAATCCATCTTTCTTTGAGCCAAATAAAGTACTCTCAATTGCTGGGCTTGACTGATGAGACAGGGTTTCGCGGACCCCTAGAATGCCTTTGTGGACCCCATTTGAGAACCACTGGACTAGAGGATACCCTAGAAGCTGACATCATGTTTCTCTAACGCTATTCGTTAAATCTGACATCATCTGGTCTTTGCTCTTTTCATTCGTTGATTCTGATGTCGGGACTCAAGTTCGACGTTTTTGCCACACGAATGTGCGATAGCAGGGAATTGTACCGTGTCAAAACATCACAAGCCCGCCAGCACAACGGGCACGCTCGGTGAGGTAACCAGATACCTGAATCCAGCCCATGCCAGCGACCTGGCCAGAGGCATTCTTTACCTTCCAACGAAAACAAACGAAAAGCGGTCGCGCCGTACCTTACAGTCTCGTCATTTGAAGCGCCGTCGCGAGTTTCGTTTCAAAACTAAAACTGTATTCCATAGAGTAGGGTGAAGCTATGCTGGCTGTGCTCCAAAACATATGCGTTCCATAGAATACAACCATAGCAATCGTTCGAAAAACGATGGCGCGTCGAACGACGGGAGGCGGACCGTGGGATGAGGAAGTATACTGCTCATGGAGAGTAACGTTGCCTTCAGGACAACGCCTTCTGGCAACTAAGGACCGTGCTCTGTTTTGTTACGTCAGTTTTGTCACCCTCGCTGCTCCTGGGCCAAGCGAGCAGAGCTAGCAGTGCACCTAATCTACACAGCAAGATCCAGCAGGACCAAGGGACCGGGACCACCGCCGTCTACTGCGATAGACCTATTGCTAAATTGCCCAAGCATCAAGGAGGATGCAGGAATTGGTGTTCCACGCGCCGCACGTGCTGGTGTCAGCAGTAGTAACTTTTCTAAAGCAAATACCTAAAACAAATGGCGTCTTGCACGCACTTTCGTCTACTTCGAATCTTTTTACGGGAAGGTGTGGCGCGTGGAACACCAATCCCTGCATTCTCCTTGATGCTTGGGTAATAGAGTCAAACCCGTTTATAACGAACAGCAGGAAACGCTACGATCAGTTCTATATAGCAAGTAGTTTGATATAGCAAAAACCTTTTACAACGAACTTCCACGTAAGATTGTTGTAAGGCGAGCGCTTCTCTTTTTCATTTCACCGCTTCTGCCTTGTAACAAAACGCTAAAAAGTTTTTGTTTTTTTTTTGCATGCGTGCAGTGTGTTTTTTTAGCCTATCTCCCTTTCTGAATCGCTTCCCTTAGTGGGCAACCGCTTTGGAATAAAAAAAAAAAAAAAAAAAAATTCCTGTGCGTGCGTGCAGTTTTTTTTTTTTTTAGTTTTCTTTTCTTCCGATTTTGAATCGCTTCTCTTCGCTCCATTTTGTTCGCGGCTTGAGCTTTTGGCATTTTCTTTCTTTCCTACTTTATCTTTGAGGGGGAAGGGACAGGCTAGAAGACGATTGTATGCGCGCATTTTTGGAAGCCTTTCTGGGAGGAAAAAGTTTGATATAGCCAATATGT